TAGTATGACTCCCAGGGTCAAGCCATAGGCAGTCAACACAAATTGTTGTATGAAGTAACTTCCATGGTCAAGCCATATGCAGTCAATACAAACCGTGGTATGAAATAACTCCCAGGGTCAAGCCTAGGCAGTCTACATACCATCATCAGTGCAACATCATAACATCAAGAATCATATAATATCTATATGAATGTGAATGAATGCACATATACAACATACCATACACTTTCATACAATTCAACCATAACGCCCACCATCATGGTGGGGCCACAAAAGAGAGGAGCAACCAAAACCAGGAGCTTACCTCAAGGAGCTTAGAACAAGCCCACACTTCAATATAAACACACATGCTCGAAATCAATCCTTAAGTGCAAGGTTCTTTAGGCACACCTAGAGTAGGAACCATTCACATCATTAATTACATAGTAATTAATCAAGTCATATACAAGACTTAATCATTTACTGATTCCACTTTTCATACTCATATGCCAATAATCTGCCCATTACAAGTCTACACCATTAATTACGTAATTACATATTTTTAGTGCATTATGAAGTGTTAACCTATTACACAATCAATCACATAGTTCAAACACCTTACATAACCTTAGAACCACACTCTAGGCTACTAAGGTAACTTAGATCATCTTCAACACTTCCAAGTCATAATATTCCTTCAAAACCGAAAATGTATTCTTAGGCAAGCCCTAGGTTAGATTTTCAATTTGCACCCTCATTGAGATACTATTTCATCTCTCAATTGATTCACTAATTACCCTTGTATTTATTCCATCAACCAACATTATCTAAGTTTCTTACCTACCACAAATGGCACAAAGGCCGTGGCATATTCCTAGGGTACTTAGTGCCCATTTGACCACTAAGTCAACCATGGTTCATTGGATACATAATTCATCCTTAAATATAATTTTTGCACCTAAAACCATAATTATCTAACACATGGCCGAAGCTTAAAGGGTTGTATTCCTTAAGATTATCTTTCATTAAATTACATGATAATGTGTCCATAGACTAGTCTTAAGCCTAGGTTGTCAATTAACTCCATAATTAGGTTTAATTAGCGAACCCTAATTAGGTTTGATTAGAAATCCTAGGTTACTTTAATTTTAGGGTTTTTTCATTATTAGGTCATTTATGCATTCCAATATAGTCATATTAGGTCTCTTCATTAAGTTCACTAATTACATGATTAGTGCTTCTAACCTATAATGGCGTTCAATTATCCGAAACAGAATTTCCAAAAAAAATGGCTAACAGGTGGTATTCAGATAAAGATCTCCCCACTAAAAAGAGCGATTGATAATCTCGATAACCTAAACAAAAATGAAGAAGTGAGCGTACAACATTTCCTCTCCCCAACCATTTCATTTCAGCTCTCCCGAAGTTACGGGGCTTTTGCCGAGTTCCTTAGAGAGAGTTGAGATATGTCTGAGTAAAAATTGGAGATGAAAGTCTTCGCAACTGTTCACGGACATTATGGAGAAATCCTTATAGTTAATTAATCCATTATGCATGATCCACCTCACTTTAACCTTTGATTAGTATCCTAATTAGGTCTTGAAACCAATTTTAACATACTAACCCTAATATATCTCCAATAGGCCGAATTGTGTAGGTGGTGGAAACTAGGTTTTTAACTTGTGAACTTCACCATTTGTTTAATTAATTAGGTCCTACACTTAATTAGTCCACTAATCCATTATTTCATTAAATTTTAAACCTAAAATCCTAATTATAATCATTAGGGCAGATTTGACAAGATGGTGTTATTAGAGTTCAAATCCATCCTTAAGCAAGATTAGTATTCTTAAACTTATGATTTTTCACACTTTACAACTTCAAGAACCCATTTTTACCAAATTAAAAAATCAACCCCACAAGAACACCGTGGAGGCCGAATTGTATAGGTGGGTGGGGGAGGGTTTTGGTCATCATTTCTCCAAGAATTCAAGCTTACTTCTTCAAGTTAGCTCCAAGGTTTCAAGCTTACACTTTTCTCAAGCAAGAATGCATCTTTTTCACAAGAAACACACCTTGAAGAAAGGCTCAAAGTTAGAACTCAACTCAAAGATGGGATTTTTCAAGAAAAGAATCCAAGAAACTTACACTAAAATCCATGGAAACAAGCAATAAAGGAGTGTTCTTCAAAGAGGACTCAAATCATCATCTCCATGGCTTGAAGTTGTCAAAACCGTGGCAGTATAGGAGGAGAGTCCCCACGAAATTTTGGTTTCCAACATCAAAAATGGTATGTTCTTGGAGAGGAGGATAAGAGGAACAACTTTGGTGAAGGAGGTTTAGTGATTTGGTGGAGTTCTGATGGAGAAAACCTAGAGAAAAGGAGGAGAAGCTTTGAAATTCAAAATGGGTAGAGAGAGAGAGAGGGGCGGCTTCAAAGGTTGAAGGGAGGGTTGCCTTAATCTTCTAGGGTTTTGACCAAGTCACTTCTGTGATATTTGTCCTTTACTGACACCCGGTGTAATTTTTCTTTGAATTGTTATCAAATTTCTATCCGGAAACCCCCAAGACTCTAACTTTAAGTAATTAATATTAAGTTTGTTTAATTATCATGTTTCTAACTTAAAAATTTGATTTGTAGATCACAGATCCACTTACTACTGTTTAATTACACTATAGTCTTTACTGGTGTGATTAACTGTACCCGGATTTCATAATTTTCTTAACTTTAACATTATTGGTCTATTTATGACTTGTTAGGCATATATTAGTCTTTCATTCCATTTTCTCATCTTTTTCCCATTTTGGGCTTCTATCGACTGCTTTTACAGTAGTACAAAATACCCGACAGAAGTGATTTCCCCAAAATATCTCAATATGGGTATCAATCTTCATCAAATCATATACTAACCTCATCTATGATAATCATATCATCAAAATAGCTCTCCAACTCGAATTTGCTAAATTGGACCTATTTTATTGACTGTTACTACGTTAGCAGTAAAAAATAATAGATGAAAATCCACCTGTGTAGAATACTATCAATATGGATATCAAAATTCTTATAATTCCATCCTCATTCCATTTATGACCCTAAGGCCTTCATAATAATCCTCTAATTTCAAAATTATAAAATTAGGGTTATTATATTCACCACACCTTTTAAAAAGATTTTGTCCTCAAAATCGGATCATAACTGATATCAAAATCGGGATATAGCCGGAGAATATCATCCTCCCGCTCCCATGTGGCGTCCTCTGGTGTCAATCCTTCCCATTGGATCTTGACCATGGGAATGACTCTATTTCTAAGCCGCTTCTCATCTCGAGCATGAACCTTAGAAGGTCCAACAATGAACTTCAGGTCCTTCTTAACCTCTACGTCATCAAGCTGAAAAATATGTGAATCATTAGATATGTATTCGTGAAATTGACTCACATGGAACGCATCGTGTAGATTCGCCAAGTTGGGAGGCAGAGTGAGCTGATACGCCACTGGTCTGACCCTTTTTATTATCTGGTAGGGTCCGACGAACCGTGGACTCAACTTTCTAACTCCCAAAGCACGCCCAACACCTGTGATTTGTGACAATCTAATAAATACAGGATCCCCTTCAGAGAACTCAAGGGATCTATGCTTTGCATCATACTAGCTCTTATGTCGGCTGTGTGCTTTCTTCAGTCGATCTCTGATCATTTTAATCTGTTTTGTAGTCTATTGGACCAATTCTGGTCCTAGTAATTGCCCTTCTCCAATCTTCGTCCAACATGTAGGTGTCCTACACCTACGACCATACAAGGCCTCATAAGAAGCCATACCCAAGCTGGCATGATAACTGTTATTGTAGGAGAACTCCACCAATGGCAGGTACTTGTCCCAAGCATTTCCCTACTCTAAAACACATGCTCTCAACATTTCCTCCAACGTCTGAATGGTTCTCTCTTTCTGATTATCCGTCTGCGGGTGATATGTTGTACTCAATCTCAATTTAGTACCAAAGGCCTCATGCAATGCTTCCTAGAAGTGTGAAGTAAACTTTGAATCCCGATCACTGATTATACTTTCGGGAATGCCATGAAGTTTCACAATCTCCTTGACATATAATCTGGCTAGCTGCTCCGTGGAGAATGTCATCTTGACTGGAATGAAGTGGGCGGATTTAGTCAATTTGTCAACCATAACTCAAATGGAATCAAATCCAGCCTGACTTCTCGACAATCCAACAACAAAGTCCATGGATATGCTCGCCCATTTCCACTTTGGAATCTCTAATGGCTATAATAAGCCTGAAGACTTTTGATGCTCAATTTTCACCTTCTGACAAACAAGGCACTTGCTCAAAAACTGTGTTATGTCTCTCTTCAACCCAGACCGCCAGAAATTGCATTTCAAGTCTTTGTACATCTTGGTGGCACCTAGATGGACAATGTACTTGCCTATATGGGCCTCAATCAACACTTCTTCTACCATTGGCCCCTTCAGAACAATCAGCTGACCCTTGTAGTACTTTACATTAGAAGTATCTGTGAATACAAAATCTTGCCCTTTCATCCTTTGAATTCCTTCTTCAAGCAATTGGGTCGCTTTAACTCTTTCCACAAGTGAATTTAGGACTTCAACTATGGTCATAATATATGAAGTCTCAAGTGGTATCATGGGAATTCTCAAATCCCTGAACTTCTCAATCAATTCATACTCTTCAATCATCATGCTAGCCATACCCGTAGTCTTCCTGCTCAAGGCATCAGCCACTACATTGGCCTTTCCAGGGTGATACTGAAGGTCAAACTCATAATCCTTCTGAAATTCCATCCATATCCTTTGCTTCATATAAGCTCCTTTTGATCGAACAAATACTTCAAGCTTTTGTGATCACTATAAACTATGAAATTAGCACCATACAAGAAGTGTCGCCATATCTTCAAGGAAAAAATCGCAGCCGCTAACTCAAGATCATGAGTAGGGTAGTTCTCCTCATAGGGCTTCAACTGTCTAAAAGAATAGTCCACTACCTTTCGTTCTTACATCAACACGCACCCAAATTCGTACTTGGATGCATCACGAAAGATCTCAAATCTCCCTTCAGGGTCAGGAAGAATCAAAATTGGCGTGATAGTCAACTTATCCTTCAATTCTTGAAAGCTCACTTCACACCCAAGGGTCCATGCAAATGGTACCCCCTTCGAGTTAATCTAGTCAATAGCAAAGCAATTCTTGAGAATCCATTGATAAACTACCTGTAATATCCTGCTAGACCCAGAAAACACCGTATTTCAGTAACATTCTTGGGTCTCTCCCAATTCAGCACCGCTTCTATTTTACTTTGATCAACAACCACTCCTACAGATGAAATGACCATGGCCATGAAACTGGATCTCAGGAAACCAGAACTAATACTTGGATTGTTTGGCATATAACTGATGTTCCCTCAAAATTTGCAACATTATCTTCAGATGTTCTGAGTGCTCTTCTTCACTCTTGGAATAGATCAGAAAATCATCAATGAAGACCACTGCAAACTGATCTAAATATGGTTTGAAGATACGGTTCATATAACTCATGAACACGGCCGGGGCATTAGTAAGCCCAAATAGGATTACTAAGTACTCGTAGTGCCTATATTTGGATCGGAAAGCCCTCTTCAGAATATCCTCTGCTTTTACCAAAATATGGTGATATCCAGAACAGAGATCAATCTTTGAGAATACTGAAGCACCCCTAAGCTGATCCAACAAATCATCAATGCGAGGTAGGGGGTACTTGCTCTTCACCGTTACCTAGTTTAATTGTCGGTAATCTGTGCACAACCTCATAGTCCCATCATTCTTCTTCACAAAGATGACTGGTGCACCCGAAGGAGATATATTCGGTCTAATGAACTTCTTATGGGACAATTCTTCAATCTATTTTTTCAACTCTGCAAGCTTTACAGGTGACATCCGGTAAGGAGCCAAGGAGATAGGCCCCACACCAGGCAATAAGTCAATGGAGGAAACTGAGGAACTTCTTCTGGGAACACGTCCTCAAACTCGCACACTACATGAATGTTAGAAGTGGGTTCCTTGGAGGCTCTTACTAGTCCTCCCAAAATGATGTATCCTGCATCTCCCTCATTTAGAGCCTTCTTCAATTGCGGTATAGATAAGTACAAACTGTCCAGCTTCTCTCCCTTTGCAGAAAAGAAAATCTTCCTGTTACAACAATCAATCATCACACCATACTTGACCAGCTAATCCATGCCCAGAATAATGTGTAGATTCATGCCCTCAAGCACTATCTAATCCACCATATACTCTTCTTTCTCCAATTTGAATCTAACTTCTTTGCACACCAAAGAAGTAGAAACAATGTCTCCGGTGGCAGTCTTCACTACCATAGGAGGCGTGAACTCATGAATGGGCAAGTGTAACCCATTAGCAACAAATGCCGATATAAAGGAGTGGGTAGCTCTTGAATCAAACATAGCATCAAAAGCATATCATCTTATAAGAATGGTACCTCTGATCAGATTAGGTGACCTCCCTGCTTCCTGCTGAGTGATTGCATAAACTCTGGCACTAGTGGGTGCTGGAGGCTCCTCAATGACAATCGGAGTCAGAACAGCCTGGATAGCTACAACTTGCCCCTTTCTTTGGGGGCACTCCCTAGAGAAATGTCCAATCTGTCCACAACTGAAACATATATTCTGTCCGAGCCGACACACACCAAAATATGATTTCCCACACTTAGTGTAACATGCCGTGTGTACCCGATTTGTTATCATATCATCGTATTAAGCAGCGCTTAATTAAAATACGAAAATAACTTTTTCTTTTCAATTATGACGTCATTATCATTAACCAAGTTAATTACTTAATCACGGAACTACAACACGTAGTCTGGACCATAATCCTGATACATTATACAACTCGAATCTAAAACAACAAAGTAAAGTCAATGTGGCATGGACAACCCCCATGCTCACCAAATAAGGCAATAAGGCCCAACATAGTCTCAAATCATAAAACAATATAAAGGCAATAAAATAGAATAACAGCCAGGCATATCAGCTCAACATCAAATATCTCAACTCAGCCCCGGCCTCCTGCCGCCCGAGGTCTCAACCCTCGAGTTATCTGAACTTGAAAATGTGCCCCAAACGTGGGGTGAGATCTCTAAACATAAATCTCAGTAAGACTAGGGGTCCTCAAGGATTTATCCACCCCAAGATCACTTACATGAGCAATATAAGTTCTAAAACAGTAAAACAGTATAAGTTCCAAAATCAGTGCAATGCAACAGATAATCATGGCATGTGTGTCAAAATATTCTACTGGCCAGAGAAATGCAGGATTTACATACGTCTATTGCCTACATTCAGTGCAAGATACCACTTGCACCCACCCACAGAATCACCATATTGTATGTCTCCTACATACCCAGGCTTACCGTCTAGGTGGCACAACACATGCATATCATGAAGCACTTGCACATAATAGCTCAACAACATTTCAAATATCAATACATGAAAACACATCATGCATATAAACCATCCCCCCATGGGGTATGGTGGAACCAACAATGGCTAAACTGAGGACACGAAAGCTTACCTCGTAAGCTCAAAGCCCACAAACAGCACAATCACAATCTGTTTATACAATAAATACTCATTAATATTCATTGTCTAAGGTTCCATTAAGTGATTGGGGCTTTCCAACTCATATTAAGTGATTTCATTTAAGATTTGCATGAGGTATTCGAATACTCCTCGATGAGTATTCTAATACTCCATGTCTCCCGAAAGTATCTAAATACTTTCATTTATGTATCCGAATACCACAAGGTATCCGAATACTTTTCACTCAGTATCCGAATACCACATGGTATTCGAATACAATACCTAGAGTATCTGAATACTACACAGTATTTGAATACTTCTCCAAGGTATCTGAATACTTTTCTTCCCAGAAAAGTATCCCAATACTGCTGCAAGGACTATTCGACTACCCATTGATAAGTATTCGAATACTACACGAAAAGTATTCGAATACTCATCAAACAGAATGCAGAAACTCGAGCTGTCATCTACATAATTCCATTTTTAAGGGTCCAAACGTGATTTGGAGTCCAATGACTCCATAAACAGATGTTCATTAACATATTTTAGACTTAGAATCTCATTCCTTAACTCAAATGATCAAAGTTTCACTTTTTAATGTATTAAACTAGCTCAAATCATAAAAATACAAAAGAGGTTATCATGGTATACCTCCATGGATCAAAACTCCGAAAATGACACTGACTTGGAGCCTCCAACACAGCTCTAAGGTGCTGACTTTAAAGAATCACGAAAATGCAACACAAGATGGGTCCTTTACACTTATAGATGGCTCCTTGAAGCCTCCAAAGACAAGAAAATGGCTCTCACCAATGAGAACCACCAACTCAGCCCACAAAACCACCCCTCACAGCAGCCAACACTCAGCAACCAAAGCCAAACTCCCACACCATGATAGCTCACAGTAAGTTATGATGATAAAATGAAGAAACTTGGTAAAAAGGTGATTGCTTGGGCTCACAATGTGAAGAGAGAAAGGTGACAACTTGGAGAACTTAGCTCCCAAAAGAAGGAGGCACGTAGAATCAGTTTTGGGAAGAATGAAAACTGACCTAGAAATCTGTGCACACCTATTTATATGCGTATTAAATTTAATCTCACTGTATTAGCACTAATAGCTACGCTTAGCATTTTAATCCCAAACTTGGAATTCTGAACCTAGCCATTTTTCTAAGATTTATCATATTTTTATTTTATTTTTCGCAGCACTTTGCCGGTACGCGCTTTTACGTAACCAGTATCAGTTCTGATACCAAATCTCATTATTTTGACTTGAAACTTGCTATGCTAGTCCTATATATTATTCTAGTGTCATATACATACTTTTCATAATTTTCTGGGATACTTCATCGGTACGCATTTATACAGTGAGGCAGAACCGGTATTTGCACTTTTCGTTAGAAAAGCGACTTTCAACATTATTAATCCCTTACCATAATTATTTAAGCCTTCTCATAATTATTAGGGTCAATTATGGAATTATCTCATTAATCTCATAATTAATTAATTAAATTCTTAATTTAACGGTGCGGGTTCTTACACTTAGTACAAGTGGGAACCTTCCCAGTTCCAGCTTTTCCACTTTCGTTCTTAACATTACCAATCTTCTTAAACTTGTTGTTCTGATTCACCTGCAAGCCTTTTCCCTTACCCTTCCTGTGAGTAGTGCTACTGCTGTAACTCTTTCTAGTTCCATCCTTGCCTTTAGTACGGTAATACTCCTGGATGTTCTGGCATTGCTTAATTAATTCCACAAAATCTCTGGTACAATGGCCATCCAGCTTGTCTGCTATCATATCATTCAAGCCCTTTTTAAATCTAAAGGCTTTGTCTTTTGGAGTGAGGGGAGCTCTACCATAGCATGAATACTTTGCCAATCTGTTGAACTTACTCAGATACTCATCAACGGTCATGTTTCCCTGCTTAAGAGTCTTCAAATTCATTTCTCTTCTTTTCCCAAGCTTTTTCAGGGAAGTACTTCGTGAGAAAATGTCTCTCAAACAATGGCCAAGTGATAGCATAACCTTGGCACTCAAGTGGGTGTCTAACATGGTCCACCAATCAGCTGCATCACCCTGTAACATATAAACTGCATAAAGGAGCTTGGTGTTGGCATCACACTCCATCACCTGGAATATACGCTCCATCTCCTGAAGCCACTCCAATGCAACAATGGGCAATCACCCTTGAAATGGGGTGGAGAATGCTTCCTGAAAGCATTTAACATTCTCTCCTGGGTCTCTTGGTCAAAGACCTGTGGTCCAGCAGATCTATCAACATCAATAACAGGTGGTTTATCACGTCCCCTGTGAGCAGATGCCTCCGCCTCCTGGTTGGCATCGCCAACACCCTCCTGTCCCAGCATGACAGGCTTAACCACTGGAATCAGATCTGCTATTTGCGCAACCTGCTGCGCTACCGGTGGTGTAGGTCCTCCACGTACCTCAGCCATGTTAGTACATAGGTGTCTAGAGACAATCTGAGAGTCATATGGACCCATGTACTTCTTTATTTGTTATGGATAAATTTTATGAATAAAATCATTCTTTATCTTGTTTCATATTGCATGTCTAAAATATTGAATATGAGTAACAAAATAAAAGCGTAACATAAACAGCAGCATCCATCCACTAATCCATAGCTGGGCCCTTGCCGCTAGAAGGCTCACCGCTACCATGGGTACCTGAAATGATGTCCCCAAAAAAGGGTGAGATAACAACATCTCAGTAAGCTCAAGTTTCTTAGAAGATCCTCTAATCCCCTGAGCCCACTTCCTGCATGACAAGTCAGATATAAAGCATATATAACAAACATACAGCATAAACATAGTATCATAATTCATCCTCTGGTAAACTATTCAAGGGTTCTTCCCAATAATAGCTAACTGACATATCCAAGCCTAGTGTGACTCCCAGGGTCAAGCCATAGGCAGCCAACCCAAACCGTGGTATGTAATAACTCCCATGGTCAAGCCATAGGAAGCCAACACAAACCGTGGTATGAAATAACTCCCATGGTCAAGCCATAGGCAGTCTACATACCATGATCACTGGCCAGGATCCTCATATCATACATCATCAATGCATCATCATAACATTAAGAATCATATAATATCTATATGAATGTTAATGAATGCACATATACAACATACCACATACTTTCATACAAATCAACCATAATGCCCATCATCATGGTGGGACCACAAGAGAGAAGAGCAACCAAAACCAGGAGCTTACCTCAAGGAGCTTAGCACAAGCCCACACTTCAACATAAACACGTAGGCTTCAAATCAATCCTCAAGTGTAAGGTTCTCTAGGCACACCTAGAGTAGGAACTAGGAACCATTCACATCATTAATTACATAGTAATTAATCAAGTCATATACAAGACTTCATCATTTACTGATTCCACTTTTCATACTCATATGCCAATAATATGCCCATTACAAGTCTAGCCCATTAATTACGTAATTACATGTTTTTAGTGCATTATGAAGTGTTAACTTATTACACAATCAATCACATAGTTCAAACACCTTACATAACCTTAGAACCACACTCTAGGCTACTAAAGTAACTTAGATTATTTTCAACACTTCCAAGTCATAATATTCCTTCAAGGCCAAAAATGTGTTCTTAGGCAAGCCCTAGGTTAGATTTTCAATTTGCACCCTCATTGAGATACTATTTCATCTCTCAATTGATTCACTAATTACCCTTGTATTTATTCCATCAACCAACATTATCTAAGTCTCTTACCTACCACAAATGGCACAAAGGCCGTGGCATATTCCTAGGGTACTTAGTGCCCATTTGACCACTAAGTCAACCATGGTTCATTGGATCCATAATTCATGCTTAAATACAATTTTTGCACCTAAAACCCTAATTATCTCACACATGGCCGAAGCTTAAAGGGTAGTATTCCTTAGGATTTTCTTTCATTAAATTACATGATCATGTGTCCATAGACTAGTCTTAAGCCTAGGTTGTCAACTAACTTTATATTAGGTTTAATTAGCAAACGCTAATTAGGTTTGATTAGAAACCCTAAGTTACTTTAATTTTAGGGTTTTTCCATTATTAGGTCATTTATGCATTCCCATATAGTCACATTAGGTCTCAGTTCATTAAGTTCACTAATTACATTATTAGTGCTTCTAAACCTTAATTAGGTCAATTTTTAGGGTTTTATAGTTAATTAATCCATTATGCATGATCCACCTCACTTCATCCCTAGATTAGTATCCTAATTTGGTCTTGAAACCAATTTCAACATACTAAACTTAACATATCTAAAATAGGCCGAATTTTGTAGGTGGTGGAACTCGGTTTTTAACTTGTCAACTTCACCATTTCTTTAATTAATTATGTCCTACACTTAATTAGTCCACTAATCCATTATTTCATTAAATTTTAAACCTAAAATCCTAATTATAATCATTAGGGCAGATTTGACAAGATGGTGTTATTAGAGTTCAAATCCATCCTTAAGCAAGATTTGTGTTCTTAAACTTAAAGATTACACATTTAACATTTTTCTTGGTTCCACTTACGATTTTCCACACTTTACAAGTTCAAGAAGCAATTTTTACCAAATTAAAACATCAAATCCGCAAGAACACAATGGAGGCCGAATTGTATAGGTGGGTGGGGGAGGGTTTTGGTCATCATTTCTCTAAGGATTCAAGCTTACTTCTTCAAGTTTGCTCCAAGGCTTCAAGCTTACACTTTTCTCAAGCAAGAACGCATCTTTTCCAAAAGGAACACACCTTCAAGAAAGACTCAAACTTAGAACTCAAGAACACAACTCAAAGATGGGGTTTTTCAAGAAAAGAATCCAAGAAACTTACACTAAAATCCATGGAAACAAGCTACAAAGGAGTGTTCTTCAAAGAGAACTCAAACCATCATCTCCATGGCTTGAAGTTGTCAAAATCGTGGCTGTATGGGAGGAGAGTCACCACAAAATTTTGGTTTCCAACAACATAAATGGTATGTTCTTGGAGAGGAGGATGAGAGGAACAACTTTGGTGAAAGAAGTTTGGTGATTTAGTGGAGTTTGGATGGAGAAAACCTAGAGAGAAGGAGGAGAAGCTTTGAAATTCAAAATGGGTGGAGAGAGAGAGGGACGGCTGCAATGGCTGAAGGGAGGGTTGCCCTAATCTTCTAGGGTTTTGACCAAGTCACTCAAGTGACATTTTGTCCTTTAGTGACACCCGGTGTAATTTTTCTTTGAACTGTTATCAAATTTCTACCTGAAAACCTCCAAGACTCTAAATTTAAGTAATTAATATTAAGTTTGTTTAATTATCATGTTCCTAACTTAAAAATTTGATTAGTAGATCATAGATCCACTTACTGCTGTTTAATTGCACTGTAGTCTTTACCGGTGTTCTTAACTGCACTCGCATTTCATAATTTTCTTAACTTTAACATTATTGGTCTATTTATGACTTGTTAGGCATATATTGGTATTTCATTCTATTTTCTCATCTTTTTCCCATTCTGGGCTTCTATCGGCTGCTTCTACAGCAGTACAAAAAACCCGGCAAAAGTGACTTCCCCAAAATACCCCAATATGGGTATCAATCTTCATCAAATCATATACTAACCTCATTTATGACTCCAACTAGAATTTGCTAAATTGGAGCTATTCTACTGACTGTTAGTACGTAGAGATGACAATTTGGGTTGAGCCCGACGGGTCAACCCGCCAAAACGGGGCGGGTTGGGTTGAGATTTTCAACCCACCAACCCACTTCAACCCGATGGGTTCAACCCGCCGTGGGGCAGGTTGACCCGCCGAGTTATATATATGTATATTATATATATGAGTAAATACTCTTTTTGGTCCTCAGCAAATTTTACGATGCCCGTCTTAGTCCCTAGCAAATAAAAAAGCTCATCGTGGTACCTAAGAAATTCAAAATAGGCCCATTTAGTTGAAATCGTGGTCTATCACAAATTCAAAAAAGACCCATATTAGTCCCTAAAATGACTAAAATGGGTCCATTTTGAATTTCTTAGAGACCACGATGGGTCTTTTTATTTGCTAGGGACTAAAGCGGGCATCGTGAAATTTGCTGAGGAGCAAAAAGGGTATTTACTATATATATATATATATTACAATTAGGTAGTATTTCATTTGTCATTAAATTTTTGTGATATCCAATTTTTTTTATCTTAATCTTCCTATAAAAGATATAGAATAACAATTTTATTTATGACAAATGTTATCTATATATGGAGACAAATGAGTTCCTAAAGAATGTTTGACAAATATTAGTATACATTTAAGATTGAGACTGAAAAAAATTAAGAGAAGTGTGAAATAAGATAAAATAATATTAGAAAAATTCATAAAATATAATTTTATTTTAAATTTTAATTAATTTTTTTTTAATTAGCGGGTTGGTGGGTTGACCCAAATTGCCACCCCTATTACTACGTCAGCAGTCAAAAATAACAGATGAAAATTTACCTGTGTAGAATACTATCAATATGGATATTAAAATTCTTAGAATTTCATCCTCATTCTATTTATGACCCTAAGGGCTTCATAATAATCTTCTAATGTCAAAATTATAAAATTAGGGTTATTATACATTCCATCTTCATTTCTGCCATTTGAATTACAAATTTTTCCAAAATTAAAATGGCATCTTTGACTTCTGGCTCAAAACAAGCAAGATTTTAAAGAAAGCTTCAATTGTGTATGAATTGACAGTTGAGAAACCTGCACAATTCAGGTAATTCTAGTCTTGCCATCCGAATTACAACTTTTTCCAAAATTAAAATGGCATCTTTGACTTCTGGCTCAAAACAAGAAGATTTTAAAGAAAGCTTCAATTGTGTAGGAAATGACAGTTGAGAAACCTGCACAATTCAGGTAATTCTGGTCTTGCCATCCGAATTACAACTTTTTCCAAAATTAAAATGGCATCTTTGACTTCTAGCTCAAAACAAGCAAGATTTTAAAGAAAGCTTCAATTGTGTAGGAAATGACAGTTGAGAAACCTGCCCAATTCAGGTAATTCAGGTCTTTTACAAACAACTTTTCACTCAACAATTTTGCATCATTTGTTCTTTTCTTTAGTGAAACTTTTTCATTTAAATTTTATACCTCAACAATGAAACATTCATATCCCTCTTTGCTAATAAAACATTGTTTCTCTTTAAACAATTGCTTCACATATGTCTAATGCCAAATACCAATTTCAACTATAATAATAAGTTAAAATGTTTACTATTTTTATGGTTGTTTCTATCATGTAAGTCTTTGAAAGAATTATATAGTTAAAATATTAATTTTTGTTTCAAAATTTTATAATTTGTAACTAATTTAAAATAACAATATCTTACATGTGTTAACTCATCAAAAGATTCTTGCAGTATAAATTTTTAATGTACAATTCATGTTTAAATGTCTTTCATATGCATTACTATACAT